CTGGTCTGACAGCCCAGAGTCATGAACTGCACTACCGAGGTATATAAAACTCCTTGTGACTTCGATGTTTTCACCGTAAGCACGAACCGACTGCACAGGATCTAGTAGGCCCCCAAAATCCTGGATCTTGGTCTTGGTCCAGGAGACCTCTAGCCCCAGGGGCTTCACTTCATTGCTAAATGCATCAAGAGCCGCCACTAGGGTTTCCAGAGATTCAGAAAGAATGGCAACATCATCAGCAAAGTCAAGGTCTGTAACTTTGATATTGCCCAGAGTTGCTCCACAGTGACTTTGGACAGTAGCTCTACCCAGCATCCAATCCATGCAAGTGTTGAAAAGTGTTGGTGCAAGAACACAGCCTAGCCTCACACCTGAACTAACAGGAAAGAAGCTCGACAGGCCCCCACCACACTTTACAGCACTTTCAGTGCCTGTATGCAGGTTTGCTATTAGCCCAACAATCCTTGTTGGAATTCTTCTCAGTCTCAGGATCTCCCAGAGTGATTCGCGATGCACCGTATCAAACGCCTTCTTGAGGTCGATGTAGGCTGCGAGCAGCCCACATCCGAACTCACGACGGCGCTCTACAATGACTCGAAGCGCCAGGATACAGTCTATTGTGGACTTACCAGGAGTGAACCCAGAATTGCTCCGGTCTTTGGTGCCTCAGGAGGTAGTCTCTGATACGTCCCAGTAAGATGTGGGCGAGTACCTTGCCTGGTACACTGAGCAGTGTAATGCCTCGGTGATTGCTGTCTGCCAGATGGCAGACAGGACTGCATGCAAGCCCCTTGCCATAGGTTCTCCGCCAGCCTTTAACAATTCAGCTGGGATGCCACAGACACCTGCTGCTTTACCACTCTTCAGCTTGGAGATCGCCCCATTGACTTCAGTCAGGGTGGGTGGATCCTCGCTGATGGGTGGGTCTGGCAGAGGAGTCTCAACATTACCAGCATCCAAGTTAACTGTTGGTGGATCAACCTGATACAGCTGCTCAAAACACTCAGCCCAACGCACACGCACCCCATCAGGATCTGAGGTTACCTGGCCACTTACTGAGCGGACTGCCGTCGTCTGTGAGGAGGGCTTGGAGTTCAGCTTTCTCAGAGCTTGGTAGGCAGGACGAAGGTCATTTACTAAGAAATGGCTTTCAACCTCCTCAGCAAGATTACTGATAAACTGTTCCTTATCCCTTCTCAACAGTGACCTAGTTCTGCGCGCCAGAGAACGGTGCAAATTGCGATCCCCTGACAATCGAGCCGCACGACAAGCTTCTGTGACTTCCAGTGTCTCCTGCGAGATGGAATTCTGTCTTGCTCTTGGGCGTACACCAATGGATTCCTGAGCTGCATCAAGCGTTTCACGCTTGAAGGAATCCCACATAACAACAGGGTCTGTCAAGCCCTCGAGTGCTGTAAGACGACAAGAGATAGCCTCAGCAAACCCCCGGGCACACTCATCCTCACTCAGTCTGTCCAGATGAAACACCCTGGGGTGTTCATTTGGTCGACGGGGGGTTCTCAAGTGGACCCGGAGAGTAGCCACAACTAGTCTATGATCAGTTCCACAGAACTTGGCGCTCCGATACACCCTGCAGTTCTGGAGGATCCTCCACCGAGTGCTGACGAGGATGTGGTCGATCTCCTTGGCCACCCTACCCGTATCGCTGTACCAAGTCCAGCGATGCGGGTCAGAACGCTGATACCAGGAGCCAGAGATCCTCAATTTCTGGGAGCTAGCAAAGTCACGGAAAAGGAGGCTATTCTCGCTGCCAGCATCAGCTCCTGAGCCATGGGGACCGACAGACATCTTGTAGCCAGCTCGATCACATACGGATACCGCATTAAAGTCGCCCAGAACAATAAGAATATCTCGCCGAGGACAAATGTCTGCCACAGATGCAAGTTTGGAGTAGAACATCTCTTTCACCTCAAGTTTATATACATCCGTAGGAGCGTACACAGCAAAAAGAGACATGAAGCCAAATGCTTCAGTCTCAATACCATTATACGCTCATCGACTGGAGTGACTTCTACTACCGAGGGTTGAAATCGGCTGGAGATGGTTATGGCTACTCCCTGGAGATGGTGGCCATCGCTGCGGCCCGACCAGTAGTAAGTGTAGCCACCGACACTAATCGTGCCGCTGCCAGGGCTTCTCACCTCCGAGAGAGCAACCACCTCAACTCTCAGCCGTTTCAATTCCCTCGACAGTAGTGGTAACCGATCATCCTGTCACAGGGAACGGACGTTCCAAGCCCCCACCCTGATAGCCCGCCTGAGGTCTACCCTCTGGCAGTCACTCCGGGTGGGCGCCACCTCTGCCATCCCCACCGACGCCGCCCCATACAGAGGTTGGCTGGCTGCAGGTCCCCTAATCCACCTGCAGGGCTCCCGGGGACTTTCCCCCACAAGCATCACGCCAGGCTGGCGGCCGCTGGGACCCAGATGGGATGATGGGTAACCCCCCCTCCCCACCCGAGTCCCAGCGGTCGCCAACC